CCTTCCTGGTTATTATTGCACAGTCCCTTACCTAAAGAACGCTTTATAATTGACTTGGTCAAAAGATTTGAGCTTGTCTAATGTCGCCATAATAGACAAGGTCAGGAGTCCTCCACCAGGTATTTCTGTTGCTTTCTGTTCGGAAGTGCATGCCGCAATGTAGAAGAAATGGTCTTTGCTTTCGGGCGTCCATCCTCCTCGGTCAGCCTTGGTGTATTTCTTATTTTCCGATTCTGCATCACAGGATTTGGTAGTTGGTTCTGGCAGAACAACCTAGTACCAAGTATCATGCATAAGTAGAGTTTCGATCCAGAATACAGAAGAGTTTCTTTCACAAGATGGTGGCTTTTAGACGTCTACAAATATTGAGGAATCTAAAAAGCCTGTCCATTCATTTCTTATAACATTAGAAGGTTTGCTCCAATATCAAGACTGATAAACCACGWTAAGSCCGCCATCTTGAATTCTGTTGTTTTCGGGGTCAGTAAAGAACTATGGGATGTTCAGGGGTACTAAACAAGAAATTTATGGGGCTTTTAGAGTACGGTACTGACTGTATTTCGCCATCCCTCTAAATTGAACTGGGTTCCACGTAGTGGTTCTTATTCAAGTCCTTTAGCTCCTCCGCTTCATAGAAACTACCTAGGTCGAACAAAGTTAGGAGCACCAAATCAAACGTTTTTTCTAATTCTGCAGGCTTTTCGAGTTCAAATGCAATCATTGAATACGTTACTTCGGCCGATAGCAAATACTGAATCCGCTCATCGAAGAAATATCATTGAAATCATGGGTGACTGATACGGCAAGTCAAATCCCAAATAGTTCAGTCATGCTACAGACTTTTAATTAGTTTGAATTGAAATCGTTGATTAAACTGAATACAAATTTATAATTACCGCGCGTTGTTAGTGAATTCAATAAAATTGTAATTTGTTTTGTCTTCAGCATTTTAAGATAATATGTACATTGTCAGTTACCTGCTTTATTTTGATTCCTTTTTGTACGTCAACGTCGCGATACAGGTAACCAGAGTGACAGCAGTCAAATATCAGTGTTATATAAACATCTTTTTTGCTGAGTTCTTCAAAGAAAGGACGCAGGTCTTGGCCAGTGATACAGATTTCTTCCATTGGTTTCTGTTAAAAGACCATAATGGCGCTTCAGATACTAGGCAATATAAGACATTGAAACAATTATTAGTTCTTCTTCTTTAGAGTTACGTATTCCGTATTGAACGCATTAGTTTTTATTTTTGTTTGCTCGCGCACTTTTTTTCATATTTTAAGAATACAGAATTTTGAAAAGTATCTTTTATAGATGAACATAATTRCTAACGCACTTGATCGATGCTACAACGAGCCAGAAAGTGTCAAGAAGTTCTAGTTCTAGACCCACAATCACTTGAACTGTATCCAAAATTCCATATGGCAATGTATCTACAGCGGCTTGGCTATATCCATTGTGTAAAAGTTTGTGCAAAACTCAAAATATTGGTATCCGAAAAATCAAAGTTTTCTCCAGCCGTACGTCCTTCGGGCGTGCGCAGTGCGTTTCTCCCCAGTGATGGCATAAGTAATTAATTACACGAATCACTAGGGAGAAAATCCCCAAAGTCAATCTGCCAATTAGAAAAAAAGCACTTTATGCAAGTGTGATATTATGGGTTATTTGAATACAAACCGTGTCAAATGCTACATTTGAGCAAATCAGTTTTCGTTTTAAAGATCACTTTCATAATAAATGATGTTATTTTTTTTTTCACAAAACTAGGAATCTTACGTGTGGTGGCCATTCGAGAACAGTAGGTAACAGTCCCTCATCTTGTGAATCTGTTAGGTATGACCCATGACCAGAATAATACAAACACACTACGCTTCGAGGTTCGCATGACTTGGTGAGCTCACTGAGCTCTTTTAGGATGTTTTCTTTGGTCGCTTGATTGTCATGTAATACCTGTAAAAATAAAAAATGTTACCATACGCTAAAATATGGGCAAAGTACAGATCAGCCATCGTTTATAATTAATAACGGAATGTCTAAAACTTCAGGCAGTATTTTTTTTTCTTGGGTCGGGGTGTGCCGCTGGGACCTCAAAACCCTGACCCTGTTCCAGAGTGAAACCGCTGAAAACTATACCCTGTTCCAGAGTAAAATTACTGAAAACGATACCCTGTTCCAAAGAAAATGCAGCACTAGCTTGCGTGTAGACCGAATTTTTAACCCGTAAATTTTTACCCAGCATCACTTTTAATTCCTGAATTAAACCCTGACTCTGTTACAGAGAAAATTCGTTGAAATCGATACCCTGTTCCAGAGTAAAATCGCTGAAAACGATACCCTGGTTGGCTGCACGTCCCCGTATAGCGAATATAGGGGAATTGTACTATTAAATTGAAATTAAGGTTGTTGCGACGATTTTTCATAAAACAATTGACTGCCTGACGTTTAGACACTCCGAATTAAAAAATGCTATAAATTTACATGAGTATTGTGAATGCCAATGGACCAGTTTACTGCATAGGGTGCGGATAGCCGTGCAGAAAAGGGACCTTTTACAATGACAGCGCTTATATATATATAAAATATWATATGAAGTTCAGTTGAATTCTGGAGTTCTCAACATTTGATGAGCAGATTACAATAGGGACTTGTGGTTTGGATGTATAACATTTTGAATTAATCGTATGAGGAAGTAGCTGATCCCATTAAAGAGTGCTCAATACACATATAGTGTAGAGCAAGTTATATATGATATCTGTTTCGTGCTACGCACTCATCAGACAGTATTTAAATGTCTGATGAGCGTGTATAGCACGAAACTCGGAGTTACAGCAAAATCTTGCCTCTTTGATATCATAYATAACATTTCGAATTAGATATCTATTGCAATGAGGGCACGGGATTGTATGTTCGTTCTTTTCCTTATAAGTGTTCTTTAGAGATTATTCATTAGCGTTTCGCTAAAACACAGGACCAAGCATGAAACTCCTTCAACCTCTATATAAATCACTGATTTATCTATAACAAAATCATACAGCAATAGAAATTATGATCATTTTGACTCATATTTCAAGTATATATAACATATATCAGAAATTATGGGATATCATCGCTGATATCTTTTTGAAATTGCTTAGCACCATTACTTTCTGAAAAAAATATTGGCGATGATATCCCATAATAATGGCGATGATATCCCATAATATGAGTTAAAAAGACCATAATTTCTGCATATTTGCTTTATATCAGTCATTTACATATTAAAATCAGTCATTTTTGTGCAAGCGGGTAATAAAATCGTGGTATTGTATTATCACGAACAGTACCTTGATATCTTCTTCTTTAAATTTAAATTTTCCAGTCAAAGCGTTTTTCATGGTCTGAACGTCCSTTTCGATGGCATCTAGCCATTGATCTCGAGGTAATTTGCTATAACTCGGTCCAATCAATATCGCTCTCTTTTGAAACCCATCCATCTATAAGATAATAAAATACTTCACCATACCATGAGAGAAACCTTGCCTAATATTGCGAGTATATAGAGTAATATTGCGAGTATATATAGAGGATATTACATGGGCGCGCGGAGATACGGATTTTATCTTCGAGTGTTGAAAAGATTTTCAACACGAGAAGATAAAATTCGTATCTCCAAGCGACCGTGTAATATTCTGTTTATCAGCGTTTCAGTAGTTTTTTAATTAAATATAAAAGCAAATTATGTTGTAAAAATCACCTTAGTTTTTCTTTCTTCCAATATATAGAGAAACCTCGAATATGTTATTTTCACTAGTGAAAATAACATGTTATTTTCACTAGTGAAAATAACATGTTATTTTCACTAGTGAAAATATCAATTTTACGTAATGGAGAATTATAGGTATTTCATAGATAACTAGACCCTGACATCAGGGTGTACTCGTGCCCTAAATGTGTTGAAAAGTGCTGTCTTATTCAGTACTTTTTCAAAATGAKCTCATTTAAAACTTTTCTTGTGTTTGACCAACCATGAAATATACTGTCTTTCTCAATTTTCAAAAATAGTTCGACCGAGTTGACGCTCTAAGGAGGGTCTGGTTTAGATGTAAAGAATAGTGCTACCAAAGGCATGCAGTTCATCTATRCTGATAAATTAAGAGATAAATTAAGAGAAAACATTTGTGAAAGTAACTCCTTGTTGATTACTTTTCATGTAATATTTAGCAGCTTTTGAAGGAACTAGATATACAATAATTTTTGACAAATCTTTAAAAGCGTAGAATCAAATCGTTTTGATCGTTCACTCTGATAGTTCGCGTGAAACATAGTAAGAATATTGTAGTAATTTAAAGGTCAAGTATACTACAGTATAAAAATCAGACAGCTGGGCGCCATGTGGCGAGCGATCTTCGCAAACAAGAAGGCCCCGCTCTATAACCATTCATGATCGCTTCAATGATCTTCATCTAGGAATTCTCATCTGTGAATAGCATTGTTTTCTTTAACCAGAAGAGACAGAATCCCTCATCAAATTAGAAAATATCTATGCAACTCAGAATCAGACAGCCACGTAGTCAGCTACGAAGTATCGGTTTATATCTCGCCAAGGAAAATGAACTATTTGGCTCGATACACCGACCTTTATGACCTAAACCTTGGTGTGCAACCCCCAAAGTGAAAATTTATTAGTCGTTATTTTATATAAACCAAGTAGCGAGTCACAAAGAGCATAGTCAGATTATCTAGAATACGAGCTTTAAGGCTTGCAGCTTACTTTCTGATGAAGATATCAGCGAATAAAGATTTGAAATATTTGGTTAATTTGTATGGGGACGCCATCTTGGATGACAACTTTGATCATCCAAGATGGCGGCTGATTTCAAATTGACTTCAAAAACTCTGGTTTCCTTGATTTCCTTTGTAAATTTTGTTCAATTATGGCTTTATTTCAAAGAAAAATCACCTTAAGTACGTTCTTACGGAGTTGAAAGAATGATTTATCCAATTTCGAAGTTTTTGTTTACGATGTAAAAGTAGAATAAATTAAACTCCGCACAAACTAAAACTTTTGTGATTCGCCACCAAAGCGTTGAATTCGTCTGAAAATTTCCATACACACTATCTAGAAATATATTTAAGATATACTGTAAGAACAGCTCTTTAGCAAAAATATTTTGGATTTTGCGAGATTTTTTGCGTGACTATGACATCACATGCACACGAAGAATACATGCTCTTACACAGATGAATGTTTTGGAATAACAAAAGGCCTCGAATATCAAAGAATTACTAAAAAACTACAGTAAATCCCGGGCAGTTATTGCTGTTCTATGATACGATTGTTTAGAGTACTGGTTCGTATGTAGAAGAGCTGTCGATCGTATAACTTGAGATCTCTTCGCCTTTAACAGAAAACTTTCCGCTATCCCAAATACTCAGATGAGTAATAAGCGGCAGAGTCTGACCTCARCAGTCGATAATTCCGAGTTTTGAAGAATATTTGTTCAATTCAAAGTGCGTGCTGTATGAGACATCCACGGGCTTCATTTATCTACGAAGTATTGATTTATATCTCGTTAGTTTAAAAGATACTGTTAATCCCGAGCAGTTTTGCTGTTCTATGATACGCTTGTTTACAGCCGAGTTCGTAATGTGATATTTCGTTTAGAGATCGGAGTGCGATCGGGGACAAAGGTACACCCGAGTTCGCAATGTGATATGCATTCGGGACAAAGGTCAGCCCGAAGACAAAGGTCTCACATAGAAAAAAAAAATAACAAAACTAAACTCGCTGCATTTTCTGACTCGTGACCCGGCCTAGGGCCTGGTCACGAGTAATTATATGAYAAAGAGTAATATTGCTAGTATACATAGACTGATTCATAGACTGGTTTATTGACAACTACATTGTAGGAAAATTACTGAATTGCGTCAAACTTTACAAATATTTAATCTATGAAATCTACAAAATATTTTCACCGTCCTAACCACTAGTTATTTTAATTTGGAAAACATGATTAAGGCTGTGCCGCTAATACGTTAGAAACTTTACGTATAAATTGAAATCGGAAATATTCAGTGCGTAAATCTTTCATCATTGAAAAACATAGAAATATGCAAATATAGAATAATGAAGAACATCATAGTGAGACTAAGTACTGCGCTATGACGTAACACAGTAGTTATTTTCACAGATAGGAAGTCCTACTGCAGCAATAATTTTTTCAGACCACCACTGCTACATTAGCTCATAGCAACCACTGTTGCCTAGTCTTTCAACTATATCTTTTTAATCAACAATTCGATCTTACTAAATACATTTCACGGTCCCTTGAGAGGTACTTTTACAAACACAGTACTTTTACAAACAATAGGGTTACATAAGACTTACATGACAGACACTGGTATTCAGGAACAACAAGCATGACACTAATTCCATCTAAACAATAGACTTCTGAACCTTTTACGTCACTACTTGATTTTCAATGCATTGTGGGATCAGTTTCAAGAGAAAACAAAAGAAATCCGCCATGTTTTGTCCCAAACATGTCCTACAATGCATTGCGTAYACGGTACATGACGTAAAAGCTTCAGAGGTCTATTAACTGCACTATGATTAGCTCTACTGCGCAACCCAGAAAAGGCCAAGTAAAGATAAACTTTGCATTTCATAAAGGACCGTAAAGATTCTTAAATCATATGATTAAATCAGTTTACGGTAGCTTTACCTTCGCGTCAATCTACCATTTCGTGTAGTGATTCTGAATGAACTATGATCCAAATGCTCACAATATCTCTGATATAAACTTATAATTTGAAGGCTACATTTATTTTCAAAGATAATTTTCGATAATTTTCTGATGATGAACTGAATGAACTGTTAGTTCGAAAACGTTCGAAAATTCTTCAAATTTATGTCAAATCAAGGTGATTATCAACATTGATATGATCCCCGTTTCTGATCTCTGATCTCATGTATCTTGTTGGCTAGCATAGCAGAAGAGTACCTTTCGTAGCTGTTTTCGTTTGACTACAACGAGCTGACTTGAATTATCAGCGAATGAATGAATCAAGAAGGACTGTAAATCAACAACGATATTTCAAGCGACCTTCCTATCATACTAACCTCTTTATTATGTACTCCCTGTGTTCCTCTTTTTCTCGCAAAACGGGTTTTKTTAACAAGAAAGGAAGTATGTATGTAGCGTCACGATGCTTGTCCRGGATACTGAATACTGGTCATTTGCATGATATGTGCGTCATTTTACTACGATGCTTCGTGTTCTTTTATTCTTGTTCAGATTTTAAATCCCTTTGGGGATTAGTGCTGAAACCAATATAGCACTAATTACATTACAGAAGAAAATGGACAAAGAATTCTGACCTTGGTGGTCCATCAATTGGAATGTACAGAGAATTGAAAAAAAAACATAGCCCTGGTTCCAAAAGGCGACATCATGAAAGCTAAATGCAAGCAAATATTACCAGTTTAACATTGTTACAAATACTTTCCAGTTTCAAACGCATGGAAATTCTAACAAGTAAATCAATATCGGAGTTTTTCGTATCTCTTACTTGAATTTCAAGCATAAATTGAAGTAAAAATTATCTAATTTAACGATATTGCCTTTAATTCATCTGATTATTTGTTTCAAAGCCCAACCATTGTTGAAGCATGCGCTCCGTGCCGCGTTGTTCAACAATTTAAAATAGCTTTAAAAATGTATCTCGAAACCGCATGTAATCGAAAAATACGATTGAACTGCAAGAGCTTATGAATACTATGAGGTTTTTGGCCCGCTYTTTGGCTGATGATATAATAGATTGCTGGTTTTCAGGTTACGTCACAGCGACCATCTTGGAGGTACCTCAACAAAGGGTTTTTCATTAGTATCTATTGTTCATTCCGCCAACATGGCCGCCTTCCTTTCGTTGTTTGATAATCTCATGGGAATGGTTGAAAACTAGCAATAATCCATGATAGGTCCCGAGTCAAAAATAGCTATCGATCAAAAACCAAAGAACTTAATTCCAAACACCGGAAATCGATTACTCGTCTGAAAGTACAACGAGAGAGACTAAGTAAAACTGGGCACGGTTAAACCATAGTGGTTCTAGTTATACGAGGTTAATCAAGTTTCGTGGGGTCCCGGACGGCGRCATATCAAACAAATCAGGTCGTCTTGCCTTTCAATTACTCAAAAAGAACAAAAGAATAATCCATGAAAGGTCCCGAACCGAAAAGTAGATGTCATTAAGTAACAACATATTCTGCGGCATTGCAACTTCCCATGTACGAATGTTTTGTTTTTCACACTGATTATGCATTAACCTGTGTGTAACACATTTTTGAAATAAAATGTGGTTAAACTCTATTTCAAAACAAAGTTTCTTTTATATTAAAACCTCTTATCCAATCATAAGCACTCAAAACAATGGCCAAAAGAAGCTTCTAATTTGCTATGTTTCCCACATAGAATTGCCTTAATATTGAAGCTAAAGAAAGCTTTTATGAAAGCGAAAACAGACATTAAATAAAATATTAGAAAATGCGCTAACTTGTGAAATTATAGCAGATTTTCATGTTCTAACCAATGGGATGGATGGATTATTCAATGTATTAAGGTAACTCTTCACCATTCCTCCCCTTCTCTTCGCCCCTATATGTAATGCGCACATTTATGTAAGGAGTCCTTATAAAAAATTATGAATATTTCTTCTTACTCAAAATTCACACACTACTTGGGAATCTATAGTTAAAAATACCTAGTGACTGTAAGATATTATAGCCGAGAAAACATAGTTTATCATATAATTATCTATGAAATAGTACAATATTATCACTACCTGCAATACACATGAATATAGCTATTTCAAAAAAGGTTGTCGGATAAAATGGCGAATGTCAATGGTCGAACGGCGATTGCACGACATGGGTTTTGGTAGTTGAAAGGCAATAACAACTGATTTGTACTGTAAGATGGTCTGTGGTAAACATTAGCTCCATTTAGTCTCCATTTCTATATAAAGTGAATCCAATAAGTGAAATTTTGTTTATCAAAACAGTGTAACCAAAGTCCCTTTCGGTCGTGCAATCTCCATTCGACAATCGCCGTTCTCCACGACAACGTTTTTTGAAATAGGTGTATACAATGAGATATGGACAGGTCTGAAAAGACTGCTGGCAACGAAAGTGGACAGCGGTATATCCATGAGTGTTGTAGGTTCCACACGCCATGTCGGGGGTAGGGTGGGTGGGGGAATAAAACCAGTATGTGTCCGTGGTTTGAATCGGAATGAACAAAGCGTGCAGATCACGCCTATTTATACACTGCAAGGCATTGTGGGATATCTATTGTTATGCTAATTTCATGCTTTATTTCCGGTAGTGAAAATACTTATATTTCTCCATTTCGTAAACTTGATCACTAGTGAAAATAGCACTGACATTTAAGGTTTCTCTATACAGTGGAAGTAAGAAAAAAAGCCTATTTTACGACATAATTTGCCTTCATATACAATTATATGATAAATAGAATATTACACGTTTGCTTGGAAATTCGAATTTTATCTTCTCGTGTTGAAAATCTCTCCCTCTCTCTCTCTCTCACTCGAAGATAAAATCCGTACTCTTCGCGCGCCCATGGCATGTAATATCCTCTATATATCACAAAGTGCTTAGTAATTTATTAGTACTAGTATATTGCCGATTTTATCATCATCTGAAGTATAGATAATATTTCTATCCTTGATGTTAATAATGCATGGTATTGTTAACGCTTCACTCGTTTTGACACATGTTGACAGCCTGCATACGATTAGTTAAAATCAGCTTGACATTCTGAGATAAGAGTATATGTCAAATCGTTTTGTTTAAAAAATAATAATAATACTAATAAAATAATTTTGAAACAATCAATATGAAGCCTTATGAAGGCAAAAAGGCACAAAACACAGGCAATACACTATATAAGTAACCTTCGGCGGGCGTTGTTTTCCATAAACAAGGACCGATCAAGCACGTTGCCTGTCGAACACTTTGCTGTTTTTAATACATTAAATGATTAGGAAAGGCTTTCATTATCAATCGTTTAGAAGTACCATTTCGTTGAGGCAATTTTAAAATAAAATCTACATTCGGAAATCATAGATAACGACGATAACAGAAACTTTTTATGGAACAGTGTTATTAATTTAACTGAGTCTTCATTCAAGACGTAAAGAAGTAAACGACAACACTACTGATATTTTGCCAGGAAGATGTCATATTCTGCTATCAAAACGCCAGCAAGCACTTACTAATATTTTGCCAACAAGATAAATAAATTGATGAGAAGCGGGTTTTCCGTAATGCAGCTCCTTTGAGGACGAGATACGGTATGTTTGGCATCGTCTGTACAGACAACAGACTTAGCTCTACTATTAAAAACTATGATCCCTCAGCTCACAAAAGATCATTGATATGATCCCTGATTGATTGATCCCCCGAAAGGTTTCTGATACCATGACTTCATATATCCTGTTAGTTAGTATAGTATTAAAGTAGAAGCGTACCTTTCGTAGTTATACGTTTGGCTAGTTTTAGAAGCTACTGACTTGAATACCTTGTGAAATCCACTTAGAAGACCTTAGAATGGAAGTTATCAACAACGTCGACTACAAATATAAAGATATATAGGGACTTAATAGGTAGTCCATATTTTCCCTCTTTGTCGACGTCATCCTCTTCAATTTTATCTTCAATTATGAACATTCCCTATTGTTTCCTATTTGTCCGCATTCTTCTGTTTCCTCTTGGTCCGCATTCTGCTATTTCCGGAAAACAAAGGAAGTACATTTTGTCATAAATTTTGTCATAACTACACTAACTACGACGCGTCTGAACATCCTGGAAATCGATTTGTGAAAGATGCCTGTAGTATTGCAAAGATTACTAAGTTGTTCTTTATCAATTTTATACGGATTGTCTTCATCCTCTTATGAACATTATATAAACTACCCATAATACCAAGCGAGTTGAATTCGTTTTGCACGCACGGCGATTAAGTGTTTATTTCTACAGAATGTTTGAAGACCTTTGAAAAATTGTCAAGAAAAATATACCCAAGAAGCCATGAGTTTTCACGTCTGCGATTACTACTGCTTATCGTACGTCTCGCTTTGATACATTTAAGTAACAATGCGCTAAAGAACTAGGGAACTCTAGGGAACGCAAAATGAGGAAGGGAGGTGTGATTTTTTGTCCACTTTTCTGTGTAATGGAAAGCAAATAGTGTGCACTTTAACGGGAGTGTTTTTTGTTGAGCGCTGTGTACAAGCTGACGGCTAGAAATAATACATTGTCTATAATTTATTGCGTATTTGAAAGATCCAATGAAGATGCTCAGAATCACATCGAGAAAGGAACCTTTAAAAGTCAGCTTTGACCGAGAAGAAATCAAAATAACAATTGCGGGTGAGTTTCTTTTGCGAAATCAGCCATTGTAAGTCTACAAATAAGACACGAAGTTCAATTATGAGAATTGTAAACGCTGCCTGAGTACCTGATGATGAAGCTGGAGCATTTCAGCCACCTATCTTTATTCATTTGATCATATATTCACTATTATTCTAGTGATACATTTTATCGACAATAATTCTTCTAGATTACATGGTGCCAAGACGTAAAGAAGAAAAAGTCCAAGGCAACATTTTAAGAATCAAACGTTTTTTATGCCAGGAAATGTTTGCTTTGATAGATGACAGATGCATGGCAAGGTAGGCGAAGGAACCCGCTTTTCACGAGCATTAGAGCCTAATTTAAAAATTGATATGAACTCTAAATTTGGTAAATTATTTCAAAAGGTTACATGAGATACGATAGTATTCTGATGCCTTCCATAGAAGACTTGCTACACATCACTTTAGCCGTGTTAATGGCACTAGTACTAGACGAGCTGTAAGTATTGCAACCAGGGTCACTTGACAGAAACATTAATTTGCTATCGCATTTTCTATTTCAAGGCTGCGGCACAAAGAGGATTGCACGTGTACGTGTACGAAAAAGAGGAAGAAGAAAAAGAAGAAGAATTAGAAGAATCAGAAGGAAAATGAAGCCAAAAAAGTCCCAGACACTTCCTCGATGAGCAGTATAGCAGCCTACTAGGAACCCGCTGACAACTTGGGCTCAGTAAATGACGTCGAGTCTACAAACATTTGACTTTAAAATAATCAGTATCTAAATATGTGTTTTATTAATATAATCACTCGTGACATAACTCGTCCTGTTGTTGCATTACCAGGCGACGCAATGATTTACACAACATTATCAGAATAAACGTTTTGATAATCAATGTGTCGCCAATCAGTTAACTAAGACGATATGTTAAAATCCAGTACAGCTCAATGGAATAGAGACTCAGAAGTTGCGGTCTAATATCCTCCCTGACACAAAACTGCGCAATAATTATCAAGGGGGGAGGGGAGTGTTGAAAAATGAGTAAAAAAAATCAAAAACGATAATCACGTACCCCTTACACAACAATTCAGTTAAAATTATGCCCACTAGCTATTACAGAAAAAATAGGCTAGGCCCCCTTCCTTCCAGGGTGTTCTTGTGACCATCACTGCCTCCAAGAGGAAGATCTCCTCGACGGCAGATCTATGCCCGGTAATAGTGGCCAGCGCACGAGACCGCCACGTGAAACAAAGCTCAACTATCAAAGTGAAGAAAACAATGGAAATAGAGCGTACTAAGGCGTAATAGTGCAACAGCTCTTTCACTAAAATAATATAACTAAAGTTTGATTTTCACGATGCGACCGACGTTCACGGGTCGTGCCGTATCGCAAGCGTCTAGTCGCCGGGTATGATTCGGTCGTGTAAGCGGTGTGGCACTGACATGGCAAGCTGTATCGTGAATGCGGGCTTGATGCATTTCACGAATATATATTGTTTGCTATGTTTTATTATTCGACAACAATTTGTTGAGGTTAAGACAAACGTGATATAATTAAGACCAGAAAAGAGAGCTGTTGCTCCATCTGTGTAGAGCTAGTGTTGAGACAAGAACTTAGTTAATGAAGTTCAAACAAATTATGTCTTTTACGCCGGCCAGACTCGACAAGAGTGGCATTAAATTTGAGTGAAGTGACCTTTTCAGTCGTCTGGTGAAAGTGTGTGGATTCGAACTCGGTACCTCGTCGATTAACTGTTGACGTCACAGAACAAATTTTCAGTATAGCCCACGTATGAATACCGGAACTTGCAATTCACTGTTTTAATGCATCGGTTCAGTCTCGTAGCAATCAGTAATTATTCCCAAAGGCAGTCATCAAAAATAAAGACGCTTTTTAAAGTAGGCCTGCGTAGCCAATATTTGCTCTGGGAATCAAATATATTCGATAAAAGCAGCTTTCATTGAGCCCTTCACTAACACCTTGCTGACGCGTTTTTGTGCATGTATTGTGAACGAGCGATCGGTCCCACAACTGCCACAACGCAACTAGAATAATGCAAAACTTCGTTTTATGCGCTTGGGATGCCGTTATACAGAAACTATAGGCATAACCATTCATGAATTAGAATAAACCCAAAGCCTGGATCGACACCCAATGGAATAGAGACTCAGAAGTTGCGGTCTAATATCCTCCCTGACACAAAACTGCAAACACCGTCTTCAAGAATAGGATATCATTAGCAAGACAAAGCACACTTACACAGTGATACTGACTAATATCGCTAAAAATACAATCATTGTTCAGCCTCTTGGGGTAAAATAATCCAAGAAAATGGTGATTTTTGTTGATTTTAAATTTATAAACAATTTCGAGTGTTTCAGAGAAACTATATTAATTTCAGCGGTACGATATTAGCAAGTGTATGATATTGGATTGGTTATTGGACCTCGCCAGTGTCATTATACACATGACGTCATCAGCAAACTAACGCAGAAAGTGCAAATTATAAAGCCAGAAAACTTAGTCTTCATATATTATTCATCGCAATAAGTAACACAACTTTCCATAGAAACAGTAACAACATTACATACTCAAAACACAATTCATTGCTCCACCAAACATTACAGCTGCAAAAATGTCTTCCAAATACTACACTCTTTGGAGCAAGCCTTGCTTAACATCAAGAAAGACTATCATTAAAGACGACGCAGAAATAGCTGGAAGTAAAATAGCGACTAGGAGACTGACAGCAGTCAAGCAGACCCTGTACAATCCATCGTTACCTACATTGAGACGGATGGACATGGATGAAATACTGAGAAAACTTCCTGAGAAACACTCAAGGTTTATGACTCCTTTGAATAAAGGTGAGGTTTTCGAAAAAAAAGTCATTTATACTGTGCTAAGCATGCTACGAGCTACCTCAGTTAGAATACGAATGGAATCGACTGTCTTCAATATGATATAAAAGAAAGAACTGAAAATATTTTCCGTTTGGCCCGCGATCTGAGTTTACACACAATACGAATCATTTGCATATAGCCTTATAAAACAGTAAAATGTAGCGTGAAAAAGCTGTTTCTGTGTTGTTTGTTTGTAGGTTAACGTTATCTCATTGAGTCAGCCTAGTTATAGAAAGATAAGAAAGGCAGCTCCATTTGACGTTTATAGTTTCTATGCGAACAGCATTATTCAAAATGAGATTGAAGAACGAAAAACGGAACGAAGGAATAGAAAATGGAGGGAAATAGAAATGAAAAAGAGAACTATCGAGATTTTATACAGTTGGAAATGAAGTGAAAAGCGAAATCGTCTGATTAATTGATTACATTGTCGGACTGACAGTTACTGTAATGCAAACCCGAGTACATCGGCTACATCGCTTATTGAAAGCAAACAAAACGGGACCCGTCGCCTGCAACAAAGGTTTTTAATAGATTAATCCTTACATAACAACAAGGTCCTTGACCCACGCTGCCATAGCGACCAACTCACAACGAAATTAATTCATTGAAAATAATCGTAAAATTAGCGAAGTAAAATGTCTCGCATGGCTCAGCCATTTGGAAATCGTCCTTATGACAGACAAGGACAAAGATTTAGCAAACATGATCCTGTACGTCCGCACGGTACAGATTACAACTATACACCATCGAGACGAATGCTTGTTGCTGTTAAAGAAGGCATGATGCATGCAAAACTACCAACCTATCGCCGAATGGACATGGACACTTTCCTTAGGAAACTACCGATTGAACATTGCAGAACATCGACGTCAAGGAAAGCAGGTACTACTCGCTCGACACCGTGATTATAGTCATTAGCACATTAGCGGTGGACATGTTAGCAACACACGAGATTACGATTATACATGCAAAACATTTTTTGAACTGAACAGCAAGTTTGGTTTACTTGGCACACTGTAATGATTTAATGTAAGCCTTGAATTGTAACTATATACGCTGTCTATTCATTTCTTGTACGGACAGCAGGACGTTTGCTCTCACAAGGATTATTATTGTCATCATTCTCGATTACTTTAGTTTTATTTGATTTGTGCAAGAGTTTGTTTCCGGGGTTTGGTTAGAGAATATAGAATAATGTGTTTCAAGTTTATATCATCAAGTTGTTAACAAAAACTAAACATAACATCATCGATATACAAAACACTCGTTTCAAAAACACACATCCTCGAACATCCCTCGTGAGATCAATGACTCCAGAATGGCTTGGAGAGCAATCAAATGGCTTTAATTACATTCATGTAACTTTTGGACTTTTCTATTCATTTCTTATCTCAGTCTATTAGTGTAAATGTGTTGAATGTAATTTGACTAATTTGTATATCTTTGTGAATTGAGCTTATTATGCGTCAAAGTACTTTTGACATATTTTAATTTCAGTTTATTTTAACCTAAATTTTAATTGAGGAGTAAGAATTATAAATAATCAAAGAAAAGGAAGAGAACTTACAAGAATTTCAGAGATTTAAAAGGCTAGTTGAGCGAAAACAAATATTCCAGACGATATTTGATACTGACTTGGTAAAAACACTTTTTTAAAAGTCACCACTGTTCAATCGCATCACAATAGAGCGCGCTCCTGATTGGTCCAAATTCAATTAGAACGCCATTGAAGTGGCAACCATTGTTGTCCGCGTACCAACAGCTGACAACAAACTAAGCATTTTACTTGGATCAAAGTTCCACCGTAGTCTGATCCACTGTCAAACCATGGCCACTTCTACACAAATATACCCTCTTTATACTTACAACAAAAAGATGCTGGCGTCTGTAAAGGAAGGGTTGTATCATCCTATGTTACCAACATTTCGCAGAATGGACATGGACACTGCGGCGCATAAATTACCTGAAGATCATTCAAGGACTACGACCCCGTTAATGCGAAGTAAACCAAGTACTGTTACCTACCTCGTTAATACACAGAAATTAATAGTGGTTTTATTTTCAGGGGATTTCAAGAATGCAACGATAACTCTTTTCAAGCCACCAGAGACACCTCTATTTGGAACCGTAAGTATATCATGTCCAGTAGACCGAGCCAAACCACGGCTTGCTTTGACTAAACGTTTGGTCTTTTCTTTGGTAGAGAATAACAGAAACGGGCCGTAACCTTTCTTCAAGGGAGTACAAACCTTTGGAATCAGGGTAACTAATAATCACCAAACAGAAACTTTTAAATACTTTTAATATGTCACAGTTTTTGGTTAATATTAACTATGAGGTATTTCAGTACAGGTTTTGCTCTTTATTCTTCTGTCCATTCACTTGGGCTACAATACAAGTAAAGCGATTCTAAAGCTTGCTTAAAAATTCATTTGTTTTCGGTTTCCCGTCCTTGCACAGTACCATGCTAATATATAGGCCTTTCACTGGTCAGTTTGCATGGTGTTTCAATTGTCAGTAATTATAAGTCATAATATTACTTAGGCAACTTAGATATTTTGTTTGTTTACTTTTCTTTGTATTTGTTTACTGTAGAAGAAAAGTTAGAAAGATTAGTAGGGATTTACTTTACAATCGTTACTGTAATCCTAGCGGTGAACCATCGCCAATCAATGATGCCGTAGAACCACACAAGTTTACAAGTCAATATGCTTATATTGTTTTGAAGAGTGGAATTTTCACGAAACACCGAGAGATTTAAGACCAGTTTACGCTGGCGATTCTTTCGGCGATTTTTAGTGCGATCTTAGCGTGCGATATCGCTTTGGAATCGCGGTTCTTCTGAACTTTTTTTTTCGCGGCGATATTGTCACAAAAAAATCGACACAAAAATCGTGAACCAGGGTACTATAGCCTAAATCGTGAACCAGGGTACTATAGCCAATTATAATGATGAATACGTAGTGATTATATTTGTGCTATACAGAGGAATGGTGAATTTCATGAAATCAAATCAGGAACAGACAAATCAAGATGAAGAGGAATATAGAGCCGCCACAGGACACCCATCCTCTAGATACGGTAAAATACACATACATTCCTGTTCTAAAACCCCGTTTACACTTGCGATTTTTGCAGCRTGATAATCGCCACTTTGCTATCACGCAACTAAATTCGTACGTCACAGCCCTGCAATTGTTGCGGGCAAAGGAAAATCGCTGCGAGTGCAGGCAATTTTCAAGCATGTTTCAAACTAAGGCGATGATCGCCGCGAGAATCCGCCTCTGCAAAAATCACAAGTGTAAACGGGCCTTAAAAATACGGCCAAGCATTTGCTGGCATTTTCTAGAGACATTCAGTACTACTATAACTAACAGCCTTTGTTTCTTGAAGACCCTCGAGAGCCTTACACATACATGCCAGAACCATATCTGTCTAAAAGCGCTGATCAGTTAAAGTTCAATGGTTACGCGGCAAGGTACCTCGCTCCCAGAATATCAGGCGGATGGAGGGTAAGCAAGCGTACCATATATAATAATCATACATCCTTAAAACATCCTGAAGAGCTTGAGAATAAACAATAGCCATGTGACATGATCCTTTTTGGGGTCTAAATGTTATGAAGTTACCCCACTCATAAAACAAGTCTAAATTGCTACATCAAGGTTCTCCCATTTTTCTAGTATTCTCTTCGACAAGAACCGTTTATTGATCTACGAGGTCAAAGACCTATACCGGCGACCATTTAGTAAGTACCCAGCTACCAATCACTGCCATATAACCTGTATCTTAATGTGATTTTATATCATTTTACAGTAGTCGGTATAGAAATCCTCATCCATTGATCAGGTAAGAAATCGCCACGCGAAGTTTGCAAATTATCCAGTCTACTTTCTAATTAAAATTCCCATTGCATAGTAAATACATAAATATGTTCMTCTGTGGTTTGTTCTTGTTAAGTGGTTTTCATGATGTTTAGTATTGTTTTGAATTGCCTGCGAAGTGCGTAGAATAGCTAAAGGTCCAACAATCAGTGTCATGCAAGAGAGAATCCAATGATTATAGAGTAGCTTGCCAATCCCCTTTTTTTTAGGTTCAAACATATAGAAATAGAACTTATGACATAAGTATATATAAAAAAAAGAAATAAATCTAAATACGATTCTCAAAAATAACTATATAAAGTGGACTTTTATATGAAAAGAAATCATTTTCCTAAGTCCTAAATCTTTCCTTTTTTCTTATAATGTCCTGGATTGGTCACTGTTAGCCAGACTTATAATGATATTCATTGTTTGTTTCAGTGTTTCTACGACACCATGGAAGTAACTAACCCTGGAAACGAACCAGTCGTAACTTAGCTATAAAAAGATATCTTTTTATTGATGATATTGGGGTGGAATCAAAAGTTGTGTAAATATGTGATGTTTGTTCTACTTTTAAAAATAAAATGTGTTTTATTGAATTATTTTACGTCTTGTACATACGTCTTTATTATGCATATATATTGTTTCAAAAAAGGTTGTCGGATAAAATGGCGAATGGCAATTGTCAAACGGCGATTGCACGCCCGGGAGGTGCAAGGGCGTGATGGGGAGAGTGGATGTTCCTTTGTTAAGTTCTTTCGTGGTGCTCGACAGACGGTTTTAGAAATAACCCAAAATGTACGCACATGGAGATACTATATAGAAATGAAGAAAGTTAAAGTGCTTAGAAGGAGGCAATTCCGGGAGAAAGACCCTTAGGAATAAATTCGGAAGTGTTAATTTCCGACCTCGATGGGATTCGAACCCACGACCCTCGGATTTGTACTACAGATGCTCTACCAGTTGACCAGTTGAGCTACAAGGTCATACTGGGAGCAGGTCGGRTGAAATAGAGATAATAGATACTGCAGATTTTGAACAATCTGAATCCAATGAACAGTCGTCGTCTGGTACTTCTGGGCATTCTTCTGCAGCAGGAAAGATGGGACATGCCGGGTTTCAGTCCCCTATGGTGTCTAACTGGACTGGTTTTAGTTTTCTATCCCAAATAAATTACACCGGCCAGTACTGAGCCCAACCGGAACAACATTTACCGCAAAAAAAAGAAACAAATAAACAAAAAAAGCAAATAGGCTCGAATTCTACAAAATGCGCAAAACAGTCGGACATGTCAATTCATCACTTGGTTTTCGCAGCATTTATTAGATGCTGGAGGCGGGACCTAGGAAAAGGCCCAATTATAAAACGGCTTTGGCTCAGTCTCGATATCCGGAAAGAAAGAAAACGTTTCAGATCCGATAAAAATTACGATAAGCGTGGACTTTAGTGTGCGTGCATTTCTCACTTAACATCGTTGGTCCGAACAGTACTCCCATGATTCATTTCGCTCCACACGTCTCTTTACCAGTCCACTGCGGTTTATAAGTCCTTTCTTTCTTTCAAGATGTCGAAAATGTGTGAAGTCAGTTTGTTGGGTTCGTTTCTTGTAGTTTTTCTGTCCCTGATTTCCATTACATTGGGAAACGTACTTGAATTGACTCCTTCTGACTTCGATGAGGTAAGTTTTAGCTTATTTCATTTTGTTCTTATTGTTTTGTGTTTGTTTAGAGGATTTTTTGTCTTTAAATAGCTTGGAATCCGGTTGAAGACTACGCAAAATTCGAACAATTGATCACAAGCGAATATTTTTTTCCGAAGCATACAGTCCTCATTGTTAATTTTTTGAATTGAGAATACTGTTGGTATTTTGTTGTGCTATGGACTCTATGAGTCTTTTGTACAGTTTCCGTACATATTCACAATAAACATTTAAAAGGGGCTTGTTAAGGTATTAAAGGCAGTCTTTTCCTGCCAATGTGTTTTCTAATGCTTGCAGGTCGTCAATGGAGACGCCTTTGTACTGGCAGAGTTTTATGCTCCATGTAAGTCATTTCAGCTATACTGAAAAACTTTATACGATTAACTCAAATTGAATGTACTGTGGACATGTGCTGAGCTGCCATTGGTTGATAGGTTTGGGAATATCATTCATTATTGTTATTTAAGCCTGGAATATTAAAACTAATTTTTGGTAATGATATTCAATGTTAAATTCAAGTTGTTATTACATGTAGTGCTGAAGAATTTAGCATAATTTCTGTTATAGAGATTCATGTTAGTTTCTTATTGTATTCACAAAGTTGACAGGTTTAATAGATGAGGTGATGGTTTTGGCTGCCATCTTGTCCGGTAGGAATAGATGAGTTGACGGTTTTGGCAGCCATCTTGGACCGGTAGGCATAGTGTCGCAAAATAACAAGGAATGACCAGGAAATCAATATCAAATAATTCTCGCTGAATTCAAATTYAGAAAGATTAATTATTAATTGCAAACTTTAGATACTACAAAAAGGAGTTCCCTGGCCAAACTTGAAGGATGTACTTCATCTAGGGAGGGAGTAAATTTATTTTTAGTCCTCAATACATTTCTCTGTATTTGTTCACTCGCGTCACATGCTGATGACCCCGGAAATTACAAAGAAATGTATGGAGAACTAAAAATGAGTTTACTCGCTCTCTAGATCAAGTACACCCTTCAAATTTGGCCAGTTAAGTTCTCCTTTTTACAGTATCTAACGTTTGTAATCAATTTCCTGGTCATTCCTTGTTATTTTGCGACATTACCTACTGGTCCAAGATGGCTGCCAAAACCGTCACCTCATCTATTGACATAGGACAAAAAGGATGATTAGCAGCAGTGTATGATCATAATAGTTTACAATAGATTGTAAATACATTCTCAATGAGCCACTAAGGTTTCAACTAAACTGTTTTTTGACCTACCAAATTGTCTTGTAGTATAATATTTATTTTCCTTTCATCATGATTAGGGTGTGGTCATTGTAAAGCTCTTGCGCCAACCTATGACCAGCTTGGTGAGGCATACAAACACACAGAAGACGTTAAAATAGTAAAAGTGGATGCCGATGCACACAAGGATTTGGCAACAAAGTTTGATGTTTCTGGCTATCCCACAATCAAGTACTTTAAAAAGGGAAGCACTGAGGCTAAAGAGTGAGTGACACTCTATATAATAGATGCTATTTTTATGTACAGCACTTTAGAATATTTCATATCATATAAAATTTATTTTATTTATTATTATTAATTATTATTGTTGTTTATAAACTTTAAAGTGCTACTTGCATGGAAATGGCCTTATTTCAAAACTTCAAGCAATACAAATACATGACTCACATGTATCTATTAAATACAATTGCGGGAAAATATTTCTTTTGGAATTATCCCACATCAGAGAAATTTTGATTCAAAAGTTGGAAGAACAAAAGGATGGAGTAAATGACGTCATCTACTCCAACATTTTTTGCTCAAATCTTAAGGATTTGTATCAATATCTTCTTAAAATCTGGTGCTTCATGATTATTAGACACATATGGATAGGTCTATTTGATATGGTGCTTCATGATTATTAGACACATATGGATAGGTCTATTTGATATCCAAGTCTTTTCTAATGTTTCGCAATTTTCGTCCAAATAGCCCTTTGATATTGAGTCACTTGGACTAAAGTGAATTTATATTGAAGTGCAACAATTTTCTTAGATATTCAGGGGGAAGAGATTTAAAGGACTTTACTGAATTTATACTTGGCGAAACAGGTAATTGTTGTTCAAACATTCAGCTTGTTTGTCAGCCAGATCATTATGTATTTTTTGTTTTATTTTTTTATTTTTTTATTTTTTGTTTTCTTTCAGGTGTTAAAGCCAAAGTTCCTATTGTCAGGGAAGAAGTTCTTACTCTTGATCCAACAAATTTTGACAAAATTGTCAAGGATACAAACAAGGATGTTCTTGTAGAATTCTATGCACCATGTAAGTCTTCCAAAGTATCTTACTTTGCAGGGTTATTTTATTCTGTGTACTACATTTTAATCATTGCGATAAAGGTTGATAAACCTTAACTTGTTTATTGTCATATTTCTTTAGGGTGTGGTCATTGCAAGAACCTTGCCCCAACCTATGAGAAAGTTGGCCAGGCCTTTAAAAATGAGCCAAATGTAAGTGTCATCACAGTTGAATCTCTATTAAACACGAGATGTCCAGATATGAACTCTATATAATATAGAGTAAATTAAATAGATTTAATTTGATATAGAGTAATTAAATACTACCTGATGAGTGTGTAGCTCGAAACTCGGAGTAACAGCAAATCTTGCCTCTTTGATATTTTATATATAATATAGAGAGAAGAAATTTCCTCAATTTTATTTGTACTAGTACTTTCTTTTAGAAATGTCATGTGCTATATAAATTCATCAAGAATCAATATTTTTTCCAGCCATTTGTTAAAGTATTCTGGTTTTAATAGCAACTGTGATTATTTCAGTGTGTCATTGCAAAGGTTGATGCTGATGGTCATAGAGATCTTGGTGAAAGGTAAGGTTTGAATTTTTTACAGTAAAAAAGATATAGTCACCTAGAAATGTTTTTGGAATTTTTTATGTGTTGTTTGAACAATCAGAAGAGTCATTGACCATCATTAAGAGCATTTTCACATGCGAAACCAGTAAGTCATTTATTGTTCACAGTAAAATACAAAATTTATTCTTTTTTCATTATTTTTTCTTGTCAACTTCAGTCATTTTTGACCACACATTCCTGGTGTAGTTCTGCCTTCACAGCTTTGCTATTTGCCAGTGTAACAAAAAATACCATTCTTTTTCCATATCAGCTCAGACATGTCAGTTATTGAAATTTATAGGAATCAGCCCTGTCATTATGTTTTGAACTAGACGCATGACTGCGTGAACTCGGGGTTCTGCTTGAACGATGAAGTGACAACAATAGTGTTGTACTCGAAGAATTGAGAAGAATTGGACTATATTGAACCTTAATAAAGTTAATAGTCATACTATCAAAAGGYGTWAAGCAAAAAATACTTCCTGGAATAAAAAATAATAAAAAACCAGTGTACTCAGCATAAATATTATGAAAAAATTGATCATCAGCAAGCCGGTCTCACTTTGATAGTCACATGACAGGCTGTAAACACAGAGTCTTTTATCTTCTCCGCTTTATAAAATCAGCTTTTCCTCAGAAGAACTCTGTTCACATTCCTTAGATGAGACCTTAGTAGTTTCAGAGCCTGCATAAGTTCGTATACAGTTCGCTTGTGCTAAGATAGGTAGCTTGTTTGGGATAGACAATTCTCGATAGACTCGATCTCGATAGACAGTAAGATAAATTTCACACAATATAAAATTTCTCGATAAATTTACGGTATCTCCTGAAATTCCGCTCGGCATATTTTAGTGTGGCTATACCACGAAAGTGTGGATTTTTAAGTGATTTTAGCATAAATGTATAGACGTTGAATTTCTGTATTCTTCCACCTCGCGTGTTACAGTCTCGCCGACTATAGCTGAGCTTGGACTACCTCTGGACAATTTGTGACTGATAAGCGACAATGAACAAAAAGAAGGCCAAAACCTAAACTCCACAGGAACCCCGAGTAATTATTCTTGTTTTTGTGTTGTTAATAATTTGCAATAATGTTAGAACAGTCTGTGGATTTGTTCATGATGCATATATGTTTGTGTGTTGTAGGTATGGTGTCAGTGGTTTTCCTACTATCAAATTCTTTCCAAAAACAAACAAAGATGGAGAGGAGGTTTGTACAACTTTCCACCAAATTATTGAAAAAAAATGTCTTGTTCATGTATTAATGTAAAAGTTTATTGTTGAACTAACAATCAAAAAATCATTGTTATTTCACTTGGGCTGATATTTTTTGGCTTGTTTCATGAATGTTTTTATTACCAGTGGAGAGGCTCTCCAAGGAGTTTTGGGAACAAAAGTGACAACAAAATTGTCAACAAGTGATTTTAAAATATTGTCCAAATCATCTTGTTCCAGAACAAGACTTTGCTGCAAAAATTATGCTAACCATAATGTGAATCTCCTTTTGGGGGGCTTTATGCCATTGGTGCTGATTTGATGTAAATTAAAGTTGCAGTTTTGTTTGATGTCTCATTTTAGTGTTTGATATACTACAATACTAGCAAGGGGTCACTGCAGCTATGACAACATTGACCTGACTTTAACACAAATAAATAACAAGTAGTGAATGTGTTATTTTTCAGTATTCTGGAGGAAGAAGTGAAGAGGACTTTATCAACTTTATGAATGAGAAATGTGGAACCAAGAGAACACCAGGTGGTGGCCTAAATGATGAGGTAAATACTATATAAGATTAGAGATTGAAAATGAGCTGCAAAACAGATTGTCAGTATAGAATATACTCAATGAGTCGTAGTTTACAATCAGAATGATATGGATCATTGCTATGACACACAAATTACAGCAAACTGTTATGCTTGCTGGTGAAGCAACAAACACATCCTGAACCAAATTATGGATGATTGCATGACTCCAAGTAAATCTTAGTCTCTGATTATAATAATTATTTTTTGATTTTTTAGGCTGGAAGAATTGAGGCCTTTGATGAGTTTGCTAAAAACTTTATGGCACAAAAGGTAACTTAGAGTTATTTTATTCTGGGGCCATTCAAAGCCTAAATAAAAAAACCTGGATATACAACCTGACTTGTGTATCAACATAATCACTGTAGGACAAGCGTGAATCTATTTATGAAGAAGCTAAGGGATTAGTGGACAAGCAGGAAGACCAAAAGTATGTTACATTCAAAATAAATGATAATAGCAATATTTTTTGTTAATAATTTGTTCATTAAATAGTGAAGCATGGATCATAGATACATGGACTTCCTGTGTGACTCATGCCCAGGCTGAAGGGTAGCTGCACTAGTCCTTTCCCAGTGTTGTGTGACATTTCTGTTTGTTTGTGGCATTTTATTTACTATTCAGTTGAGCTTTTCACTACTCTGGAGAAGATTTATGATGTAATGTCCGACAATGAGGACTGGACGGGGTTTCAAGTCCGCGCAATTAGTTCCAGTCCGAGGCGCAGCCGCGGACTGGAACTAATTGCAAGGACTTGAAATCCTGTCCAGTCCGAATTGGAGGACTTGGAAAGACTTCAAATCCTCATTAATTATTCGGGAGGAGAAAAGGGCCGAAAAATATTAAAAGTCTATAGGAATATATTGGTTATATTTTCTCCTTCATGCAGGATTTCATATTTACATCATTGAGCACTATTTATTGTTCTTCAATCCCCATTTGGGCATTTGAAACAAAAGCTATTCAAATTCCCTGTCTGCTATTCATTTTAATCCTAATGAACTTATTCATAACATTTAAAATCATTTTATCTTCCGAGATTTTTCATCGGATAGTGAGTGGTGTAATGGTTTAAGGCGGAGGGCATAGATCAGAAGGTTGGGAGTTCGAATCTCAAGATGAAATTTATCATAGATTTTTTTCACTAAATTCTAAACTTAGTTTACTATTTCTACTTGTTTAAAAGAACTTCAATAACTTGGACTTTGAAATTATCTGAGAAATTAAATCAGCTTGGAGTAACTGGAACAAAATTAATTCAGTACGGAGTAACTGGAACAAAATTAATTCAGTACGCCTAGTAACTTCCTCCGATTTCCAGTTACTGCACGTGGTATGAATTACGAACAAGGATTGGCTAAATACCTCGTGAATAATTAATGAGTATTTGAAGTAATGTTTTGAAAAGTTTAGTTTTTATTTTAATTTGATAAGGAATAATAATAATAATAATAATTTAATATGGCATATTACAAAGTTTCTATGCTTCACAATGATTAAAAAATCAAAACACTATATTTACAACTCTGAAAAAAGAGAGAGAGAGAGAGAGAAAAGACCAAAATGCTCTTGGAAAAGATAAGTTTTAAGTCTGGTTTTAAAGTTAGTGAGCGAGTCTGCATCACGCACATGTTGTGGGAGGGCATTCCAGGCACTTGGCGCAGCCACTGCAAATGATCTTTCGCCGTATATTTCGGAATACAGTTAACTCTATTCGAACGACCACTCTCGTAAGCGACCATCTCCTGTAAGCGAACACCTATAAAATTTCCCGTTTTGTTTCCCATACAAACTTTTTCCATAAAAAAACTCTCTCGTAGGCGACCACTCTTGTAGGCGACCGCAACCACCTTTGGGATTGAAATTGTAGAATTTTTCATTATTTTTCCTCTCCCGTAAGCGACCACCCTCGACTGACGCAATAAAGGCGTGTGTTTAATTTACTTACAAAGCAGTGCCATTGTTCAAAGTTTTTACACACTGATATACAAACGTGTTTTGAACTATTTGGACCTCCTGTGTTGTGATTATTATTGTTTGGGTTTCCTGTGCTAACGTTCTCGTAAGCGACCACTTTTTCCTGATCCCGAGGTGGCCGCTTACGAGAGAGTTGACTGTAATTTGAATTGATCATTTTAACATACCTAAGATATTTATACACTAAAACATCTTAAAAGGTCATTTTAAAAGAAATGAACAAAAGCCTAAGACATAATAAACATTTTGTACAAAATGATGGCTAGCTAGAGTACAAACACTAAAACTGTGCAACATAAAAACCCTAAATTCTGCTCAATTATGCTAATTCTATTGTTTTCTATTGTTTAATTAACACTATTTTGTAGTAAATAGTGGAAGGTGTTGCACACATAAATTTCATGTTTGTACTCTACTGAATTAGTGCACTATTAATTGTACCTTTGTTTCAGAATGGCCAAATATTATGTCAAAGTCATGGAGAAAGTTACAAAAGTTGGCGATGAATTTATCACTAAAGAGACGAGCCGAATGGAACGTTTGTTAGGTGAGGAATAATCCACAGGCTACCCATCACATGTACAAAGCTCAAAAATATTGTGCAATTTCACAACTAAGGCACCAAGTTCACCATGTACCAGTGATTCCTGGCAACTACCAGTTCTCAGATTACCTGTTAATCAGGCAGTGTAGTAGGCTATACTAGTTTTTCTCCTATTACAACACTGCAATTATTGGAGTTTTATGATCATATCATCAATTTGTCAATATATTATTCTGTAAAAAAGTTGAAACTGAAGACAACATGAATAGAATCGTTTTTTTTTTTAAGTCTGCCATTTTTGTTTCAGGTGGTCAAATCAGCTCAGCCAAAAAAGATGAATTCACCAAAAGAACCAACATTCTTGGTCAGTTTGCTGGTGCTAAGAAAGATGAGCTGTAGAGGTCATATCTGTTTTACACAAAGGCTGTAATTCCTCCTTAGAAGTCATCAAAATAACTGCTAAATTATACTGCAAAAAGTATTTTTTCTGACTGCATAATCATGTTTTCACACACATTATTTTGAAAGTTGTTGCAGGAGGAATGTCAGAAAAGCTTTATAAAATGGTCGGCACTTTTTCTTTGTTTTTGAACTGTCTTCATCAGGTTGTATGGTTGTTTTTGTCTTGTATCATGGTGAATGTCTTTTCATTAAACTTGTGGTTCTTATATCTTGTTGCTTGTTTTATTATATTTTCCATTTACTAAATTGTACAAATTTGTATAAAGAGGCTAGTAAAATAATTGTGTTGACTTTTGGACTTAAGGTGTTCTTTGAAGAGAAAAGCTTACAAATAGATTACAAGTTTAAAAAATAAATAGTTACAAATATCYCCCCTCTCAACAATAACAAACAATGTGAGCAAAGCAATAACATACTGCAATGAAAATTTGCTTTTGAAATTTATTTTGGTTTCTTGAATTTCCCTCCAGTTTTAGCTTTTTTATTTTTAGAGCCTTTTGGGTCTTCACTCTGTTAAAGACAAGAAGATATTGTTAGTTAACATTTTAGACAATACAGTGATTGTGAACAAGTACCTTGCGTTTAGGCGTAGTTGATGTTTTGACTGTGAAGAATGAGTCAAGTCGTCCTTGTGTGGAGCCATGTCGAGCCTTGGTTAGTTTTTTAATTCCAGATCTTATTCTGTCTTCACTGAAAAAAAACAGCATCCTTTTATCAAAATACTCTCATTTTAAGATATACATTCACAATGTATTTAGTCTGGTGAAATGATGGTAAGAACTGTGGTGAATTACTGTGTCAGGATTGTCACAGTGGGTTTATAATTATCTAAGCCATTATTAATAAAGGAATCGCCTAATCTGGTAAAATCTTCACATGATTTTGTACCTAAACCCTTTTTCTTGTGCCATGTAAGTAACAAGGCCTTCTTCATCAGGATCTTGCCATTTTAACTGGTAACAAGAAATAATATTATCTTATTATAGTGGTTTTCTTCTTTGTCTTTTCACATATTTTTACACTTTGGCTATTGCACTTTGTTTCATGTGTTCAAAATAGTATGTATTTGTTCCTTGAGAGAAAGACTCACCTCAATCTCACTAGCTTTTAAGATATCTGGATTTTTGAACAGCTCTCTTGCTTCCTGTCAATATGCATTGAAATGGTTAAACTGTGATAAGCTGGTTTGTTGATCTTTCAATGCTGTTTATGATGATACAAATGTAACTGTGTGTCTCATGAGGTTTTTGCTACTGTTTTGTGATGTTAATCAGAAAATATTGAAAACTAGTATGAGCTGCATCCTTCTAATGAAGCAGTTGCACAAAAAGACAAATTTTAACACTATAAAAAAGTAGGTGAAACAACTGTCAGAGGATTGATGTCTGAAAAATCAGTAATATCCACTTTTTATGGTGTTCAAATTTTAATACCTTTTTGCACAACTAAGCCAACTAAAAGGAAATGTGGTATTGTTGCTACTAAAGCTATTGTTGTTGCTAATAGTTTTTGATAATTTCAAAGAGTTGTAATCTGGGTTATAATGTTGTTATTAGAATGAATTACCTTGTAAAGCCAGTTTTCTGGAGGGGGATATTTCTGAGATTTGAAACAAAATGGGCAGTTAACGACTTTTTTGACATTTGGTGTTTCATCCATTAAAGTGTACTTTGACAAAATATGTTTTAATCATATTTTTGAGGAGAATTGTGTCAATCTATACAGTACACTTACAGCTGTATCAATATGTTTTAGGATTTCTTCAATACAATGATGTTGCTTGATAAGGTCAATGGCTCTCTTTGGTCCAATGCCTGTCAAAATTACATTTCTTAAGTGTTATTTCATTATTATTTTAATTTATCAGTGTTCTGAAGCCATAACATGAAAAGATCCAGTAATGATGTGCATTATTATTTTGCCCATCCTGTTTATATTACCTTTTATAGAATCACAATAATCACAACCAAGTAAAATACCAAGATCAATAAACTGAAACAAAGACAAGGCATTAGAATAGAGTCATTACAAGGCCTTCCTGTGAAGGCAGTACAGGTTAACTTGGATAAACACAGTTTTGGGGTAAGAATTATATGTAGACACAAATCTTAGAATATCAATTTTGAGTATGTTTAAGACATAATCAAGCAAATATGTTTGATTGTTGATGTCAGATCACTGCATAGCAGCAGAAATTTGACCCTTGACTGTTGATGTTGTGTTTCTGTTTCAAGACATGATGTACACCACGATTTAAACTACATTAATTGGATAACAATATTGTAATAGGAAACAAACCTCATCCTGGGTGAGAGCAGCTTCCTCTAAAATGGCTGCTAAATGATATTCTTTAATGGGCATCTTTCTATTTCAACAAAAGTGTATAACAATAATTGACTATTGAAAATATGAAAAAATGATCAGGCAATAAGAACAACAACATACTTGGCTTCACTGAAGGTCAGATGTCGCAACATGACTGTAGTACCAAACGTTAATGCATCCATGTCTTCTGTTCCTGTAGCATACACCTACAAAACTATGTTTACATGAGGTGATGCTTTGGTTCAGTTAATACTAAGCTCTGTTCACTTGTGATAGTACAACAAGACACAAAAATAGTCTGGTTCAGCTGGATGTACATACTCACAAAATTACTCGCTAAGTTCAATTCTATAATGATTGCTGTACTACTTGCTCTTGATCAAGTATCGTATGTTATTTAATTCACACATGGATACCACCTTTTAATATTGTGTACACTCTGATTAGTCAGTCAGTGTTTGTTCACTCCAAAAAATGAAAATATTCTAACAACAAAATCTATTTAATAGATGGAATCTTTCTGTGTTTTTGTACTCTAATGAATACAGGGATGACGTCAAAAGTGACGAGAACAACAGTTGTACCGCTTAGCCTCATGGTGTACTTTTTTCTTCTTGTCACATTGTTGACGATATCTGTGCATCTATTAGAGTATAGAAGCACGGTAAAATACAATTGATTGCAGATAGAGGAAAAAGGCAATTTAAGCAAAGTCATCATGTAGTTGATGAGCTGTTGGGAACCCTGTGTAGGCAAAAGGCATGTTAGGAATAATAAATATAAAACCCACCTTGCCTGCTTTGACAAGTTCAGCACATTGAGCTTCAGCTTCACATGGAGCCTGTTATAGATCAAAGATTGAATAAAATCAATGCTGTTCGTAGCTTGACCTGGAAAATCAATTAACATTTCCAAACATTTCCAAACCTCCTTTCTAAGCACTATAACTTTCTATTATTTCATGTATTTCCTAGTGTCATGCAGTATTTCCTAGTGTCATGCAGTATTTCCTAGTGTCATGTGGTATTTCCTAGTGTCATGCAGTATTTCCTAGTGTCATGCGGTATTTCCTAGTGTCATGCAGTATTT